GATCACGCCCGTCCCGAGGATACTCAACCTCAACCGAGTTTTAGGATCGATTACGTCCCGAGGATACTCAACCTCAGTCTAATTCCTCACCAAACCCTAACCTGGATATGGCTAAACTTCCTTTCACTTAACTATGGACAATACCTAGTCCTATAGTTGTATAATAATCACTAGTAACCAACGTGGGCGGGTCCCACTTGAACGGCCCACGTTAACCTGCTCAAAACTGCCCGTTTTGGCATAATATCAATACCCTATCGGGTACCCACCCATACTCGGTCGAGTATGGGAGCCAGTAGCTCCAAATATACACTTCCAGCCCATACTCGGTCGAGTATACACCCATACTCGATCGAGTATGGGAGGCAGAAACTCCAGAATGGCACTTTCTGGCCATACTCGGTCGAGTATATACCAATACTCGGTCGAGTATGGGAGTTGACTTGGCGTTCAACGCCCGTTTGGCCGCCCAAACGAAGTCCGATTAACGTGAAATTTGACATGCGTGTACCTCTAGACTTCCTTAACCCAAAAACACCATTTTGAGTCCTTGGAACATCATGTACACTAATTTATAATATTTTCATTAATCAAACTTGTTTAACATGCTTTTCACTATGTTATGTTCTTCTATAAGTCATAACACATGCTTTAATACCATTAATCAATTCATAAAACATATTATTGATTAATTTAGGTAATCTTATGCCTAACGCAAAAGTTACAAAGCATATAGCCGTCTTCTCACCTTATTGAAGCTTATGAAGTTCTAGCCTTTCCGATTTAGCCCCGGTGAAACTCCGGTGAACTTCAACGAACTCCGGCGACAACTCCGGCGACCCTTTCAACTCCGTGAAAGTCCTTGAAGTACCTTATGCAAGTTAACAACAAGGTTTTATCATCATAAAACCTATATCAACACAAATAACCTCTAAAAGGTTATTTTCCGACAAACCGGTCAACTTTGTACTCTAAATCCGTTTTGGATATGAACCAACCTTCCAACCCCTCATTCTTCACATATAACATGTAGAATGATCCTGGGGGTATGAAATATGATTATGCAATCATATGGAAGGATTAAGGAAAAGGAATGGGATTAATAAGTCATTACCTTGTTAATCCTCAAGTTCTTCTCCTCTTTGCCCTTCTCTTTTTCCTCCTTCTTCTCCCTTAGCCTTGGTGCAAGTATGGGTGATAGAAATGGAGATTTGCAGACCTTCTCTCCTCCAGGATGAAGGCTTGGTTCGAATGGATGATAATAGGGAGTGATTGGGGTGTAGTTTGGCTTATTCTATGATGATAAGAGGTGAGGGGTCCCTTTGGAGTCAACTCTTGTCTCCACCTTCCCCCTTGGCCTGCCTCTATCATTTTAAGTCAGCATTTGCACACTCCTCTCTTCAATCAAGAGCTGGAAAAACGTGGGGTGGCCCCCACTTTGTTGGGTGGTCATCCCTTTGTGTCCCCAAGTGTATACTTGGTCCCGAAAGTTGTATTTTCCGGACTGTTTTAACTATATTTCGTTTTATTGGGTAAAATGAATTATCTATCCTCCTTCCAATTATTATTGGTTATAAGGATGAATGTATATTCCCCAACTTTCAATTTGGTGGTCTCCATAATTTATTATGGCTTTTTATCTGATATTACTTCGGTACCGATAAATGGGCTTCACATGCTCAACTGGTTGCTCACATAACTTCTGTGGCCCAACCAGGCTATTCACCATTATACACATATTATCTTGACCCAAATGAATATAATATGCGGTCCCGATAATATCGGGCGGCCCCCCACCTCTGGTGTGGGCCCCACGTGGATTTTACTATTCACGTAAAAGGAATTGATAAAAATTCACAATCACGTAAAATGCTTTTATTCATTTCTTGGGTTCAATACATAATTTGATAAAGTACCAATACTTGGGGGCGGTGTTACATATTCATATATTATAAGATAAAAGAATTTATGATTTATTGTATACACACATATATTTTGAAGTATATTTGTAGTATAATTTAAGAAAAAGTATGTATACTTATATATTGAGCGGGTCGGGGCGGGGCGGGTCGGGGCGGCACGGGTCAATTCTAATACCCGGACCCGCCCCATTGTATAGGCGGGGCGGGGCGGATCCGTCCCATTTGCAAGACGGGGCGGGGCGGACCCGCCCCAAATGTCTCGGGTCAGGGCGGGTCATTGCGGGTCGGGTTTTTTTGACATCCCTAGTAGTATCATTATGAATCATGTTTATGATCAAGTAATTCAACCTATTTCATCCTAGCTCATGACCATTTTTCACTCCGTATTATTTTTATGTCTTATTTGTTCAACTTATTTATTTAAATTAAATTTATAAAATCTTAAAAATCAGCTGCACAAATTATGGTCAACGTGAACAAACAAATACTGTATATTCGTTTATATAATTTTATATACATATGAGGGATGAGACTATTTATACATAGTAGGTGGAGGCTAAAAATAGGGAAGTGGCAACAAGGTAATGGGCATGGAGGTCTATTGCACAAGGGCTGAACCTAAACGTTTGATATACCAACGTTTTAGTTCAATTGGTTATTTTCAGTTTAAGCTCATATAAGTCATTCCCCCAAACAGAGCTACTTTTAAATTAATTAGCTGGATTTAAAGAATTCCAGCCCTTTTTGAGCTTAAGTGGCGTATCAAACATAGCCTTTGTGTACACCAAGAATAGTCCTACTACTATATGGGAGCTGTGTGTGCAAGAGTCAAGCCACTTTTTATGGACAATGATCTATACTATGAAGTACTATATTATTTGAAGTATTTTATTTGAAAGTTTTTGTCAGTTGTAGTACTCCGACTATTATGTCATGAACACTTTTTGTAATCAGTTTTAGTAAAATTTGAATGGTTTTAAAACAGTTTTACTTTATTTTTTTACTTTATCAATTCAATATTCACTACATATATCTACGTACTTTTCTTAATAATGGTACCAGCTCATCATGTCCCAATGTTAGTGAAACGGATGTAGTATTATAATAGTGACATTTGAGTCCTTCGCTTATTGTGTCAAAATCACATTGGAATGACTAAAGTGTCAATTTGATGATACTTAGGGGACTAAATGCAGAAAACTTTGAAATCGAGAACTAAAAATGTGTCTCACACAATAGTCGAGAACTAACAATGGAAAAATTGAAAGTCGAATACCAAAAGTGCCACTAACACAATAGTCGGGGGACTGAAAGTGACAAAAACTCTTATTTGATGAATGTGTGAGAGATTTTTTTAGCCGAGTCTAATTTAAACTACTTCGATTTTATTAATTTAATATAGTCTTATTTTTACTCTCTTTGTCCTTAAAAAAGTTCAAGTTTGATGGAAACGAGAAATAATTAAGTAAAAATTATATGGTTAAAATTTGTGCAGATGAAAGAGAAATAATAAAAATCACAAATTCATTCATTATTATAAAAATGGCACAATTTTTGGGTTATTTTAAAAAGGAAATATGATAATGTTATAAAAAACCTAGAGTATTAAATACTACGTATGTAAGTTCTGATTTCGCCCGTCAAATTATGTAAAGTTAGAGTTATTTTTTGAATAAGTAAAGTTAGAGTTATTTTTTATATAATACCTCCGTCCCTTTTTATTTAGCTATCTTTGACTTTTCCAGTCAAAGGTGATAAACTTTGATCCATTATTTTAACTAATATTCCGTGTATTTATGTAAAACTTAATAAATTTATATTTTTATGATAGTGTTTTTAACAAAGAACATTTTCATATAATTTTCACATTATCGATATTACCGTGTAAAAATATATAATTGGTCAAAGTTGAACAATTTTAACTTGGAAAAGAGTGTTTCGCTAAATAAAATGGGACGAATGAAGTAATATATTTTGTTTTATTAACAAAATATATTTCAAATATAATGAATTAAACTATGCTAAGAACGGGAGAACCCTAGCCTAGGCGGCTAGCTCTTTATGCTTGCGCGATAATTCGGTTCTTGCGAGCAGAAGAAGAGGGTCGAGATTCAGATTCGATCCGACAGTTTTGTGTTTCTCTAGGGCTTCGACTATGTCGGCCACTGGAGCCTTTTTCCGATTTCGACTTTGTCGAAGATCGGCTTTGTTATCCCTTGGTCGCTGGTGCTCGGCTGGAGTCCAGGTCAGACGCGGAGGGCTGAGAGGTGGAGGGGGGCGGATTTGCTGTCATGGCTCGAGGAGATCGGCGCTGTGGTCAAGGTTCGAGGATGTGGCGTTGCTGTTGTCGTTGGAGGAGATCGGCGCCGCCTATCCGTTTACTCTGGTCGCACGGAGCAAGGATGAGTTTGGTTATGCAGAGACAGAGGATTGATGCATGGTCTTTGGCCACCAAAGGTCACGGAGGATCAATTAGCATGGTACCGGTGGTACGACCTCCTCCTGAACCACCACCATGGGATGTACGAGGTGCTAGAGTTCGTGAACGCTTTTCTTGTAGTTTTTATCTGTTTGTTATTTGTTTTTTGTGTCCACTTTTGTTGTTGGTTTTGACAGTTTGTTTGAGTTTTTAGCCTCTCTTTATGTCATTGGGTATGGTTGGATCTATGGGAACATGTTTGGTTGTGTCAAGCCCACTACATGGTTAGCGATTCGTGTTGCTCTCTCAGGGGTGACCGTCTCAAAGTCTCGCCATAGGGTTACAGTCGTAGTTGTTGGAGTTTTAGTTGACGCCAGTTTTGTTTTCCCTTTGTTTGATGTAACGATCCTAAATCTTTTGATATGAATAGAGGCCCGTTTGATGATAATAAAAAATATATATTTCAAATATCTCACTTTCATATTTTAGGAGATTCAGTTAATAACAACCGTTTCAAATAATATTTCATCATTTTTGAAGTTAATTTGAAAAATGTGCACTCACAATATTCAAGAAATCATACGTAGTAATAGAGAACAAAAAAATACTTTTCACGTGGTGTCTTTGCATTGGCTTAGACAAGTATGCGAGGACACGTCACTCGGCACAAAAATCTCTCTGTGTTCGTCTTCTTTTTCCACTGTATCGCCGATACAAATCCTCTGGCTCGCCCACCTCCCATGCTCTTTTCTACTTTTGTTCCATTACAATCCTCTGGCTTAGACTAACTATTGGGTTTACAATTTTCAATTTTAATCAAGATGAATCTGGCGTGGAGTTGTGTCTTACTTCTGTCCTCAACTCTTTTCTACAGCGTTGTTTTCGCCAATCAGATCTTCCCTGCTCATACAGGTTCCAAAATTTAATCTTGATATTCTTTAATTTTTTTATTTTGTTCTAATATATAGTTTTATTCTTAAACAGAAGAAAGCTTATGAACTCAAGCGTTGTTTTGTGTGGTAAAATAGTGTCCGTTGTTTACAAAATGGTAGCAAATTCAGTTTGATTGTAGATTTATGCAAATAAATAGAATATGTTCCCGATGCAATCACATTAGCATTTAGGAGTCTTTACGATGTTCGTGTGTTTTGAAGCAGGTGGAACTAACAACAGACCTGTGAAGATAGAACTGATTGCGAGGTTCTGTAGGATAACAAGGACTAGGGTTGTTTGGATTACTTCTGTTAAGAACCCTGATTCGAACTACCTTCCTTCTTTCCTTTTTGATAATGAAGAATCTACTCCTGTAATAGTTTTCTGTTTGAGTTTATATCAGTAATACTGAAAGTATTCGAAAGGATGCTTAAATGAGGTATTTCCTGGTCCAAGTGGTTTACAAATTCTAGACAAGAGCAATGTCTGGTAGATTGAGTTTTAAAACTTAATAGTTTTCTACTTGAAACTGTTGGTTTGTAGTTTTGTACTCAATACGCCTCATAACTTCTGATTTGATAAGTTGATTGTGCAAGGCATTATTTTGGCTATTCTCATGTGATCAGCTGATTGGGCGAGCCATTCTTTTTTTTGGCGATTAGCCGATTTTATCTAACCATTTGATGCTGTGCTTTATATTAAGAAACTTGGATGTTTGAGACTATAATTATTACACTGTTCAACAACAACTTGCTCCCCCTTTGATGTCAGGAGGGACACTGGGTCGAAGCTCTAAAGAACCAAAGTACAGAATTGAATTTTATCCAGAAGACTCACCTTATCACCCAGTACGTAATTCTGCTAACTTGAATGCTATAATAATCATTTTAAATGTGTTCCTCGACATCCTTAAAAGGAAAATGGCCCCTGCATTGATATCCTTTCTTATTTTCTCTATTTTGTTCTGAAAGGTCAGAAGTTTTAGATTATAGAGAAATATATGCTGCGTGTGACACCAAATTTTTCTATATTACTGTGTCTTTTCAATTGATCTCAACTTTTAATAGCATTATGCATTAAATGAATGGGTGGATCTGAGCATTTTGTGTTGCAGGATGATGATCAGGAAGCTGTTATCATGCCAAATAAAAAAGGAGAGAAATTTCTCTGTTTTCTACCCAAGGTGCATAACTCAAAAAGCAGTAAACTAGTGACTCAGCAGAATACAAGCAGCTTGATCTTGGAGACTGAGAAACACATTAAACCAAAGACACCTGATGAGCTGCTTGAAGTGCTTAAGGATTTATGCCTTATCAGGGTGAGTATATTTAATTCTTTAGAAGTTAGAACTATTCTTCACCCACAAGTGATATTTAGGGAGTATTTATGAAAATTGAAAATGAATCCCTTAATTGAGGAATCAAATTATAGATTGCATGGTGTTTCTCTTCCTGTAAGCATCTATCTTTTACTAAATTCATCTAAATTTCCAGCAAGAGGGATGGTGGTCGTATGAATTTTGTTACCAGAAAAAGCTGCGGCAAATTCATTTGGAGGATGAGAAGGTATTATCCATTCCGCTCAATGGTACACTAATAATTATGTTTATTTTTTTAAATTCTTTTATTTGAATTTTTTATCTTTTAGCCAATAGTTTACCCAGAAATTTAGCAATATTGCATGCTTTATTAGAATGCAGTATAATGAAGAACTAATCTCTAGTGCTCAAACGGGACTCATCTGCTACCCATGGAATCTGTTTGGAACCCTTTTTTTGTTGTATTATTGTTTTGTTGGAGGGTATGTTCTCTGTTGTTGAATCCCATATTTGTCCTTTTGTACTTAAACTCAATCCAGACCTGTATTATTTTGCTTGAGCTCTTTAGGTGGTTCAAGAATTTGTATTGGGGTACTATGACAGTGAAGCTACTACTGCTTACAATGGGAACCAGTCCGATATATCTACATTAAAAGATCCTCGCTCAAAAGATGCTTCACAAAGGTATACATACACATAACAAGTCAGAGATGAACTAGTTGTTCGGATAAACAGTTTTACCATCTATACATATCATTAGGGCTTAGCATAAAGCTTATTTACGCTGAAATTATTGTGTTTACTCTCAAGAGTTATTGTTGACAAATTTTAATATATGCAGATATCATGCTCATTTGTATACAAATGGAACTATCTGTGATTTAACAAATCAGCCACGAGAAACTGAGGTATCACTGTTCTTTTCGGTTAGTTATACATAGTATATATGACAAATGAGAACATGATATTTTAATAATTTTAATAAACTGGTAACGTGTGTCTGGTTCTTATCCTGCTGCGATGGGGTTGGCATTCCGATTTTGAAAAATGATAATGTGATCTTATGAACGAAATGAAAATGGATTGTTTGCGTTGAGTTTTAGATCCCAAAAAGATGCCAACATTGCATAAAATTTGATCAAATATGTGGTGGGGTTTAAACCAAACATTTCTGGTGCCACAAATTGTGCATTTTTTAAAGCATCATTTTTGGTCTATGTGTACTGCCATGAACTAAAAGTGCATCGTTTTGCTTCACTGATTTCTCTTAGGAAGCATCATTTTAACCGGAAAAACATCATATGTGTGTATGTATATGTGGGCACATGTGTGCATATGTGTGTGTGTAAATCAATTCTTATAACAGCTTTTCTTCAGGTGAGGTTTGTTTGCTCAGAGCCGAGGGCTATGATAAGTTCCATCACTGAGTTATCCACCTGCAAATATGCTCTCACTGTTCATTGTCCAACACTCTGCAAGCACCCGTATGGATTTCGTCTCAATTTCATACTCCGGTCCCTTCTAACTTTACCAACTTCCTTTTTTGGTTGTCCTACTAATATTGCCAATTTTCCTTTTACATAAAGAATTTTTGGTTCTACTTAATTTCTTCTCTTGTGCACGAGTTATATTTTATTATTCTACATGCCAGTCAACTTTGGCAAAGTCATAAAGGACAAAGCGAGTACATGCTACCGCACTTATATGTGCTCGTTTTAATATTTACCTTTGATGTTCAGAAATCCTGGCAAGAATAATACGTCATACTCCGTATAATATTTACCTTTAATGTTCAATGTATCAAATCACATGTAAGAGCATCTTTAATGGGAAAATGGACTACTTTTAAAATGCACCTCCACCTCAAATAAATAGACATCGAGTGAAATAACATGCTCCAATGGGAATATCTATATGGAATATGGTGCTGAGTTGGAATTGAATATAATGCACGGTTTGTACTCGGCCTTCTACTTTCAGAAGGTGTTTCCCATAGTACTCATCAAAGGGCCCCTGTTTGGTCGCAATTCGGCGCACGAAGCTTCTTTCACCATCGCAGGGGAGGCAGACAACGTCGGGTCGCAAGAGGCCCCATCTTTGTGTCGTCGCCGATGAATACCCGTCATCGGAGGTGAGGCTGTCCTCATCTGGTAGTTGTTGCAAACCTGCCTTCTCACGCCGGTCAGTATAGTCTCGCCGGGTGGTCGTTGTGTAGACTTTTCGGCGGTGAAATTCACAGTGAAAGAACCAATCTGAAATAAATGTTGAGAGCCATCTATCTGAGCATCGAGTTGTACGGTTAGATCTGCCGCCGTTGCCATTGAATCTGGTAGCATCCATCTGCCTTGTCTCTGCCGGCTGCCTTGTCTCTGGTAGATCTCTTTTTTTCAAATGATACCATGGGCTGTTTTTAGAAGAGAAGTATGGTGCAGTGGGTGTACTATACACCGTGGGCTGTTTTTTTCTTTGGATGAAAAAAGATGTAAACCGTGGGCTGTTTTTTTAATTATATGATGTGGCGTTGAAGCATGTACCATTGTAGCATACAAATTATTTTAAAAGTCTATGCATCCACATCAGCTTCATGCCGTCTATGTAGGTGACGTGTCCATTTTTTATGGAGTACTATCCACATGCCCATTAAAGATGCTCTAAGGATATGCTTTAAGGATACTGATACTGATGAGCACCTATTTTTGATAATTTTGTTTTGCTGGAACGATACTTATAAAACACATCAAATGAATATTCTTAGTCCACTTTATCCAGATACCCTGACTTTTAAAAGGATACTAATAATATTCTTTGTCCCCCCTGTATGCTATAGCCTACATGGTTTCGTAAGTACACTAAAGCTGCATTTATGTAGATACCCTGACTTTTTTATGTTTTTGTTTTGGATAGCCTCTTTCAGGAAGAAAGACCAGTGAGTCACACCATCAACTGCAATGTGCTTCCTAAAGATTACAAAGAAATGAATTTGCGGCAAGAAAACATTAGAGAAGAAAGGATTAGGATGGTGACAGATCTCGAGTATCCCCCTACATTTGATATAGAAGAGTATGCAACATGAGAAGTTTCTTCGGTTCATGGTTTGTTGTTCCTTCACTACTCTCATAGTCCTAGTGTTCTTCAAATTCTCTCATTTTGTTCTATTTTTATTTTTTATTTTCCTCATGCCATTTTCCTTACTCTCATGACTCTTGTATTTAGATAACATGTAAAGTGAGCAGTATAAAATGCAACCATATTTACTAATCTAATCTACCTGTCATTAATGGATGGATGTCAAGATGGAACTCATTATGTTCTATATCATTGTAGTCTTTCGGTCAAACCATTCCCTGCCCTTATGCAATTAGTTTACTTCACGCATGCACTTCTTGTGTCGTCCATCATAGCCAAGGTAGAGAACATTCATATTCTTTGATGATCTATGCCTGTATGTATATGCTGTTATTTTAGTATTCATTATGATTATATTTATATAGTTAGTAGTAGCCTATAGCTGAAGGTTTTCCAAGAAAATATCCATTAACTTTCAGAGTGTATTCATGAAGTCAATCCACGGTTTCTAGAATTGGACGGATAGCCTAACCTCTTTAATCTTTACGGGTTTCCTGTATAGAAGAAATCGCTCATATACACCACACCATTAATACACCCATACACAATTACACGGTTACACCCACACATACATTTTGCAGTACTATGTCGTTTTTTTCTTCTTTTTCATCTTTTTTTGGATGAAAGTTGAATTTAAATAAGCTGCCCTGAAATGTTAATTATATAATCATGCCCCCATCAAGCACAAGCAATAGACTAAAGTTTCATGCAGGGGCGGATCTCTTCTATGCAAGGGTGTTCATGTGAACACCCAAAAGTAAAAAAACAATGGGAATATATATACAAATTAGAGTAATAATTTATTTAATAGTATTTTAAAGAGAAAATGTGTAATTTTGAACACCCAAATTGTAAACACTAGATCCGCCACTGGTTTCATGCAGTAAGTGCTACACAAATACCAACACCTGCACAAAACAACTAGGTAGTTCAGCAACGAAACAACTAGTATAAATAGTCCAGAAATCAAACTCTAAATAACACACCAGCAACCAAGTTAAACATTTGTAACCAAACTTGCTAACTAGCAACCACGATCTGCATATTCACCATAGGGATTAGTAAACTCAAAAATCAATCATGGAAGATGGGTATGGCCTAAATAATACCTATACACAAGTGCTTTAATCTCCCAAAACAAGCTATTATCATAGCCTTGTTTCCTAGCAAAAATCATTTCATTCATTGCCTCTCATATTGAATAAACCGTACAACACAAGACTATACGAACAACCTTGTTTTGGAACCTTGCTCCCCCATATTGATAATTGATTTACACATATTTTAGCAACACTCTATAGTGGAGTGGTTTTTCCCTCATTTGGAGCCAGCTTCAAGCCTCTCTTCAGGCAGCACAAGTGAAGTGACACTTAAAGAACAAATATTTAGCTAAATTCACGTGTGACTTACACAAAACGCAAGTTCTATCAATATGCATGTACATCAACTTATCACATGTGGTCAATTTATTCCTTAACCCAAGCCAAAGAATAAATGAGTATTTAGGTGGGTTGTGGTGTTTCCATATCTGTCTAATCCAAGGTTTACTATTATTTCTTGTTCTCAAGATATCATACACTTTATTGGAGCATAAACTCCTAACATGTATAAACCATCTCTTCGATGTTTGATAACTTTGTAGAACAATAATCACAAGTTCCCTCAAAATTCTTTAGTTAAGCAAATAGGACAATACTTGGTGTAACAATGACTTGAAAATGACTAAAAGTACAGATGTTGAACAAAAATGTGTTCATTTTATATTATATTAGAACTGACTTTATTATGTTCAATTTTACATTATAGTGATAATGACTCTAATATATTCACATTTATATTCCTAAATTGTATGTTAGTACTCCGTAATATTTTAGGAAAAACTTTGATTTGTTTTACTCTTTTGACATTTATAATTCCAGGATTGAAACTTAAAAAACATTTTCTACTACCACCATATTTTAAGAAAGGTAGAGTATATGTTATATTACCAAATACAAAATAAAAAATAGGCAAAACAATTAAATAAAAAAACACCTAATTAAGCCCATCAAGTTTAGAAAAACATTCAAAATCATAATTTAGCAGGTGAAGGTTCGATTAGTCGATAATATTGCTGATGTGGCGATTCACGTGTTTATTTTTAAATTTCTTCTTCTTTTTCTTTTTCTTTCTCTCCTCCTGCTACTTTCTTGAGTTTCTTCTTCTGCCAGGCATATTTCTCTTCTCTCCCCATTCTTTCTTCTTCCTTTCTTTTATTCCTTTCTTTTCTAAAGAAATGAAAAGTGGTTTTTAATAAAGTGGGTTGTTGATATTGAATTAATAAAATAAAAATAAAGTACAGTAATTTAGAATCACACAAACTTTATCAAATTTGATACTCCCTCCGTAACTTTAAAATCTTCCCATTTCAAAAAGTAGGTAGATTAAGAATAGTTGAAGATGATATGAATTTTTGAGGGTATGATGAGAAAATAGTGGAATAATGTGGTGGAATGTAGGATAAATCCAAAAAAAGTAGTTGTAGTAATGTATTATTTTAAGAATTATCGAGGGTATGATGAGAAGATTTAGAAATGGAAAGATTTTTGTGTTACAGACAAAAAGGGAAAGTGGGAAGATTTTTAAGTTACGGAGGGAGTATAATGTAATTTTACTATGATAAACCCAAAAGGAAAGATGAAATAACGACCGAACTACGGAGTATCTTTATCCATTTAAAAGCCAAAGGTCTTGTTTTAGTCATTTGCTTGTTTTAATACTGGTATTATGGGATGGGCCTATGGGCCCTTTTTTGTTTTGTTTTACTGTTATTGATATGGTCCACCATCACATCATCCACCCTTGCTGTCCACGACTATATGATGCGTAGTATCATGTTACGTTTAGGTCCCAGCTCCTTATTCAATCTTATCCTCTAATCCATTCAGACGAGTATAATAATAATAATTCAGCCCAACCGTTTCTACCTGCAAAATTCGTGACAGTTCTATCTACAAAATATACTCCCTAATTGCTACGTAGTAATTCTCAATATTTACTTCTCTTTCCACATTTTAGGCAAAAATCATGATCACGTTTTGAACAATAGAATAACTATTTATTTATCATAATAGGGAAATCAAATTTATTTTGAGACGGCAAAGAAAATATAACACTTTCAATTTTTTTCAAAGTTTGGGTAGCTTTTTAAATAGTTTATATTTGACCTTATATAAATTATTTTAAAAAATTCGATCCCAATTTCTGCTCAATTGAGTTTTCTTCGTTGGTTACTGATCACATCAATCCTTCTTTTTCGATCGTTGATGAAGTCAGGTCTTTTAGATTTAATCTTTTACTTTCTCTTTGGAATAGAAGAAGAGCACTTGTAAATCACTCTTTGGAGTATCAAGAAGAGCACTTGTAAATCACCACCCCACTCAGAGATGTGAAAAGATAGCGTTCAATTAGATCTCTTTATCTATGGTTGGATCGTTTTGTTGTATCTTTTATTTGATTTTAATGTATCAAATAATAAATTAGTTATTTGATTTTTCATATCAAGTGAACGGTGTAAAACTGTGTAATGGAATCTGTAGAGAGAAAGAAACAAAGAACAAGAACTACTAATTAATTAATCAAAAAAATATTTTACAATTATCATATTCTTCAGATCATAGGGCTTCGCCCGACGGCCACTAGAGTACACTAAGGGAGTGTTTGCAATTGCTTCAACTTTAAAAAAGTGATTTTTTAAAGTGATTTGGGGAAAAGTGATTAATAGTAAAAGTTGGTAGTGTTTGAGAAAAAAGTGATTCTGAAAAAGTAAAAGTTGGTAGTGTTTGGTAAAATAAGTACTTTTTGTGTAATAGAAAAAGTGAAAAGCAGTTTAAAGCACCCTTCCACCTGCTTCTAGCTTTTAGCTTTTAAGTGATTAATTTAAGCAGAAGCTGTCATTTGAAAACACCCTTTTTAACTTTTTTTAAGCCAAAAGCTGAAAAGTGCTTTTTTTAATCAATTGCAAACACTCCCTAAAACCCGTCCCCTCGCGACCACCACAAAAGCCACCTGAGATTTTTATTTCCCGTGGGGTCCAACAAGACGTCATAAAAAGCCTGCTGACGCCATCAACGCGGAAATTGATTCCCCTCTAGGCCTAGGCTTTTGACATGCTGGAAAGCCGGCTAGGCCTCGGCCGGAACCCGGCGCGGCGGCGCTGGCTGTGAGACGACGGCCGAATAAGCGCTCCCAAAGCTCGCTTCACCAGATCTCCCTCCACGGTCCCTATCCGGACCAACGAGTTGGTCATCGCGGACCGCCGCATATTCAGCCGGTTCGAATTGTACGGCGAAGCCGTGGGAGCGCGTCCGCCGCCGGACAGATCCATATTCTTGTGCAGGCTGCACCTGAAGGAGCCAGGATGCTTCGTCGGCGAGCACGTACACGTACGCTTCCGGCCTTCGCTCGCGGGCTTCGTGTGGACGCGGTTCATCACCGCAATAGACCTGCTCGGAGAAGCTTGCCGGTCAAAGGAAAACCGTACGGAAGAGGCGGAATTCGAAGTCGCCGGGGTAGAAACGTTCGCTCCAGCCGGCGGCATCTGCCTGTGAAAAATATTTGAACATCTGGGCGCAAAAACAGACGCCGAAGAGGCAAAAACGGAAGGAGACTTGGTAGTGGCAGAGTGAACTCTGGCGGCCGGTGAGATCGACCGAAGGATTGATCCGGTTGATCGTCTGGGAGGACCCGCCATTTTTTCTTGCGGCTTTCAAGGTAATGAATAATGATACAGAGAAGAGAGTGAGAAAAGATGAGGAAGGAGATTTGAAAAGGCGTGTTGGCTGTTAGGTTTGGCAAACCTATGCTCCACTCCAGCTGCCGATTTATAGCACAAGAGCATGACATTTTTTGCTTCTTTGCCCAAAATTGAAATAAATCATATGATTGCACCCTCAAACTCTGCATATTATATTTCAAGCCCACAATTAAGTAGATACGTAGTACATGAAATTATGTATTGAATTATGACATTTAAAGACAATTTGTAATTCCTATATTTAGTTTAGTGGTTCTATGGGTCAACTTCTTTTTTACTCTTGTGATTCTTCCTCTTTACACACACGGATATATATATATACATGTAGAGTAATCTTCCAGTCAAGACTTCCTTATCGAAACCGTCGTCCGACTGGCGACTGACACCATTCAATGTTGTTCCCAATTGATTTTTTTATAAAAATTTTTGAACATGTTTTCTATGGAGTCTATGAGATCGCTCTTACACTAGAA